AGGAGTGAGGAATCAAACCCAGTTCTCCAGATTAGAGTCCTGCGGCTCTTAACCACAACACCAAACTGACTCCGAATCAGACCTTTGGTCCGTCAAAGTCAGTATTGCCTACGTAGACTGGCAGCGGTTCTCCAGGTTCCCAGGCAGGGGTCCTTCACATTACCTGCTGCCAGGTCCTGTGACTGGAGGTGCTGGGGACTGAACCTGGAACCTTCTCCACAGCAAGCAGAGGCTCTGCCACTGAGCCACAGCCCCTCTTTACAGCTCTCCAGGGTCTCAGACTGAGGTCTTTCCCATCACTTCCTGCCTGGTCCTTTCAATTGGAGATGTCGGGGATTGAACCGGGGACCTTCTGCATGCCAAGCCGAGGTTCTGCCACTGAGCCCCAGCCCCTCTTTACAGCTCTCCAGGGTCTCGGGAGGAGGTCTTTCCCATCACCTCCTGCCTGGTCCTTTCAACTGGAGATGCCGGGGATTGAACCGGGGACCTTCTGCATGCCAAGCAGAGGCTCTTCCTCTGAGCCACAGCCCTTCCCCAGTGTTTACAGTGCTGAATCAGACCATCACTCCGTCAGTGTCAGTACTGTTCATTCAGACTGGCAGTAGCTCTCCAGGGTTCTCAGGCAGAGGTCTTTTGCATCACCTCCTGCCTGGTTCTGTAGCGGGAGATGTCGGGGGCAGAACTTGGGGCCTTCTGCATGTAAAGAAAGCAGGTGCTCTGTGTTCCATATAGACTCCCGTCTCAGCATATCCGAGGATGAGGAAGGTTAATTAGGTACGAGCTGAAATCCCCCAGGGTTTCTATCCGAGCCATCTGATTTTGCAGCAGAACTATATAAACAGTGGATTGCTTTGTTTTGCCCTTGTTTTTACCACTTTCCGGTCAAAGAAAGGTGCCATCTCAGTGCAGAATGCAGGGGCGTTGTTCTTTAATGCATGGAAACAAAAGAGTAAGCTCAGTGCCATCCCAGCTAGTTCACTGAGGGCTTGTGAGATCCAGGGAAAGGGAGGGGAGGAAGCACTTTGCGGTTGCCCAGCAACGACAGCCTGTTTGTGAGTTGACCAGGGTGAGAATGGAGGTGGGCATCCTTGTGGCAAAACCCTCACCCGCCAGATGCCTAGCTGGAATATAACCAGATATAATTGCCTGGACAAGATGTTCCTTAAAAGGGGGAAGGTTGTGTGACCCACGGGGATGTAAACATGGCCTGATAGCCTAGTTTGGGAACCACCACCACACCCAGCCTCCCACACATTTCTGTGTGTAAATGCAAGGCGAGGACAGTGTGCCTCTAGAAGAAAGGGGGCATTAAATTGCTTCTCTCCGAGCATCACGCCAATAGTTTCCTATTTTGTTTTTCCACACAGGAAGAGGAGTTCAAGTGGCTTTTACGAGAAGAGGTTCACGCTGTCCTTCGGCAGCTACAGGATATTCTGAAGGTAGGTTTTTAAAAAAAATAAAAAAAAATCCTGTCTTCAAAAACATTTTTCCCTACTTGCGACAGGGAGAATGTAATCTCATAATGTTAGAAGTGTATCCTCTCGCTCTGTTTTGAAGTTTATAAAATTATGCACGGGGCACAAAGAGAGAGAGAGAGAGAGAGAGAGAGTTCTTCCTCCCTCTCCAAAAATACTAGAACTCAGGGGCAGCTAGTGAAGAAGAGATTGGATTTATACCCCACCCTTCGCTACCCGAAGGTGTGTCAGAGCGGCTTACAATCTCCTTTCCCTTCCTCTCCCCACAACAGACACCCTGTGAGGTAAGCGGGGCTGGGAATTGCCCTTGAGAGAACAGCTCTGAAAGAACTTGTGACTGACCCAAGGTCACACCAGCAGCTGCATGTGGAGGAGTGGGGAATCAAACCTGGTTCTCCCAGATTAAAGTCCACGCTCCTAACTACTACACCAAACTGTTGGTGGGCAGATAGATTCACGACAGACAAAAGGAAGCGCTTCTTTACTCGACAAGTGTTTGCAATGTGGAATTCACTGCCAGGAAGAGGTAGGGATGGCCACAATTACAGATGGCTTTAAAGGGGGGGCTGGGCAAATTTGGAGAGGCTGAGGCCATCAGTGGCTGCTAGCCACAGTGGCTACAGGGAACCTCCACATTCAGAGGCAGAAGGCCCCTGAATACTAACATAAGGAGAAGGCCCCAGCCTCTCTGCCCTGTAGTTGGCCCTCCAGAGGAACTGGCTGGTAACTGTATGAGACAGGATGCTGGACTAGGTGGACCCACGCTTTGATCCAGCAGGGCTCTTCTAATACTCTTATGAAGGCCTCATCCTCTATACCAGTGGTGGCGAACCTACGGCATGGGTGCCAGAGGTGGCAGTCAGAGCCCTCTCTGCGGGCACGTGTGCCATCGCCCCATCCAGGCCCAGACCATCATTAAAGTGTCAAATTCTCTGCCAAATAATTTTAAGTAAATGAAACCATTTGGGATTGCCTTCCTTACTTTGTTTGGATCGTCTTTAGTTAATGTAGGAGTTGTTTTTTCTAAAGTAAAACCTCAGTATTCAGGTTAAATTGCCGTGTTGGCTCTTTGCAATAAATAAGTGGGTTTTGGGTCGCAGTTTGGGCACTCGAGCTCTTAAAGGTTCGCCATCACTGCTCTATACCCTGTTGTTGGCCCTCCAGAGGAACTGGTTGGCCCCTGTGTGAGGCAGGATGCTGGACTGGATGGAGCCCTGGTCCGGTCCAGCAGGGCTCTTCTTAGGTTCTTATGTTCTTAACATCAGAGGAGTCCCCAGCCTCTCTGCCCTGTTCGCTGGCCCTCCCTAGTAACTGGTAGGCTGCTGCATGAGACAGGATGCTGGACTGGAGGGACCACTGGTCTGATCCCGCAGGGCTCTTCTGATGTGCTTAAAGTTGCTTTGGGCAGCATACGCCTCTGGTACTATAACCCTCTTTTTCTTTCTGACCCAGGAAGCTTCTCACAGGTTTGCTTTGCCCGTGAGTGGCTCGGAGGGACCCATCAAGCAGGAAAACTTCATCTTGGGCAGTGCAAAGTAAGTAATGAGATTTCGGCGCACGGCATGCTTGGCAACTGTTGTCGCCACGCGGCGGCTGCCGGCACTGCTTAGCGGAAGCGGGGGAAGCCTCACACCTCTGAGCGGAGCAGGGCATGGATCTGAAGCTCCTCTCCAAAAGCGAGCCACTTTTCTGGTGCTCCTTGTGATTCGTGCAGAAATTGGCTCCCGAGCCGCCTCCTTAAGTGAGGATCGGCTTCTGTTGGCGTAATTAGGCTTCATCGGAGACATACAGTCAAGCTGACAGTGCTTCTCTCGTCTTTACCTAGGCGAGATTAGATTAGAGTGATGGGCCTTTGGAGGAGATGAGGTTCTTTAAAATCCTCTGTGTTGTTTTTGTGCATGCCAGACTTGGGGGTGGGGGATAGAGTTGGGCAAGAAGCAGGTTGGCATTCAACATCTAGACCAGGGGACCCCAACTCTTTTTAGCCTGTGGCTGCCTCTGGATTTCTGACACAGTGTGGCGAGCACAAAATGACTGCCACGGGAGGTGGAGCCAGATAAAAAATGACTGCCACATGAGGCGGAGCCAGCTGCAAAATAACTGCCACAGGAGGCGGAGCTAGCTGCAAAATGACTGCCACAGGAGGTGGAGCTAGCCACAAAATGACTGCCACAGGAGGTGGAGCTAGCCGCAAAATGAATGCCACAGGAGGCGGAGCAGGCCACAAAATGACTGAGACAGAAGGCAGAGCCAGCCACACAATCGATGACACTCCTGCCACAGGAGGTGGAGCCAGCCACAAAATGACTGCCACATGAGGCGGAGCCAGCCGCAAAATGCCTGCCACAGGAGGCGAAGCCAGCCACAAAATGCCTGCCCAGGGAGGGGACGCCAGCCAAAAAATGCCTGCCACAGGAGGTGGAGCCAGCCGCAAAATTACTGCCACATGAGGCGGAGCCAGCCGCAAAATGACTGCCATAGGAGGTGGAGCCAGGTGCAAAATAAATGCCAAAGGAGGCAGAGCCAGCCGCAAAATGACTGCCAAAGGGGGTGGAGCCAGCTGCAAAATGACTGCCAAAGGAGGCAGAGCCAGCCACGAAATAACTGCCACAGCTTACCTTCCATCACACAGCAAAGCTACCTGTGCTGTGGCAGCAACTGCTGAGCCGGTCAAATCTCCAGCCTTCAGTCAGAACTCTTGCTGGATAAAAGCCCAGCCTGGCCTGCCCACTTTCTAGAAATCCTTGGCAGGCACCAGGAGAGGTGTTGGCGGGCACCATGTTGGGGACCCCTGGTCAAGACCCAGTCCTGCCTGCCTGCACGCAGAGTAGGTATTGCAGGGATTCCACAGGACTCTCCCTCCCTTGAGCAGTGGCCTCCTCCCCATGGGGGAAGCAGTTGGTTCTGAGGAGCGCTGAAGCAGAGGGCCGAGGGTGCTTGGCTCCGCCCCAGCTGGCCCCAGGTCTCCTCCCATGCTAGGAAGGGCCGGGTTCTTTTTTCTGCTTTTAAGGAGTTTATTGAGGATTTTATAACATAAAACATGAAGGAGACAAAAGGGGCGGAAAGATATACAAAAATAGAGAAATATAAAGGAAAAAAACTCCCGATTTTCTTTCTACGACAAATATAAGTAAAATTACAAATGTAATTTTCCTTTTTCCTTAATCATCAAATCCACAAGTCATCACTTCATTTTTTCCCCCCGTTTCATGCAAAAAAGGTCTACAAAGGGGTTAGGGTTACGGTTTCAGATTAAATTGTTTTATCGTTTTGCCTTTATTACCTTTACCTATGCAATATATTGTTAGTTATCTTGCTTCACAATGTTCTTACAGTTTTTCATATCGTCTCACCCGCGATCCCCATTTGTATTTTGCTTTTTCTCCGCTCAAAGCAGTAAATTCAGCCATCTCTGCAGGTCCTTGTCGTGGAAACAAAAGAGGTCCGTGTCTAAATAACAAACAGAGCTGGGACTTGCAAGTCAGGTTTGCTGTGTCTCGTAGCTTCCCCCCCCACACACACACAAGGGTCATGTTTGAGGTGTGCTGGCAGCCAAAAGGGACACAGTACAAGGCCTCCCGTGTGCACCGATCTCCGTGGTGGAAGTTGGATCTTTGCGGATTTGACACATGAACCGTTCTTATCTGCCTTTTTTTTTAAGCCTTTTGTGTTTGCCTCTGTTACGCATCCCCGGAGACTTTGGAACCTGGGGATTAATTTTAGCCTCGTTAACAACCCTGGCCTCTTATTTCAGTGCCGACCAGGTGAAGGGAGTGCTGACACTGCAGGGAGATGCGCTCTGCCAAGCAGTGAGTATTGGGCCAGGGGTGTGTGTTTCTGTGTGTGTAACGTGCCAGGAAGCGGGCACATCCATGACGTACCAGGCTTGTTTGGCCTTAGAACCGCTTGCTTGTCAGTTAACAAATCTCCCTCTCGGAGACCCCTGTCTCCTCACAGTTTCTGAGTGACCTTGGGTCCAGCCACATTCTCCATTCCAATGCTCCCTCTAAGCCAGGGGTGTCGAACTCATTTGTTATGAGGGCCAGATCGGACATAAATGAGACCTTGTTGGGCCGGGCCATGTGTGTCATAAAATGTAATGCCAGGTAGCGGAGATATAAACTTTATAAAGGACACAAACACAAAGGGGTTTTTTTTTAACTTAAAATAAAAACATGCTTAAAACATTAGCCCTCTTGCAATATTTTGTTTATTTAACAGTGTCTGATAACTGACACCCCTTGCTCTGACTTATTGCATCAAAATGTCTGTGCTGTTGCAATCCTGAGTATGCTGTTCAGGTGTGTATCTGTAAGCTGCAAACCCAGCAGCAGCAGCAGAACTGGAAGAAGAAGCAGAAGACAGCCAGTTCCACTGCGGGCCTGATAGAAGGCCTCCGGGAGGGGCCTGATCCGGCCCCTGGGCCGCATGTTTGACACCCCTGCTCTAAGCTGTGGCGTTTTGTGAGCAAAAATTCTACTCTGTGAGCTCCTGGCATTAAAGTTGTCAGCGAGCGACTTGCCTACTGCGT